AGTCCTTGGGTTTGTATAAGGTGGCTTGACCCAATGACCATTTATGTAAATGTTGGGCTCATTAAGAGCCCATGGTGATGGACTCAGGGGTTCACTGTCTCCTATGATGAATTCGGCCAGGCCTTGTAACAGAGGCTGGGCTGAACCCATGTGCCTGATGTGTAGATCAATGTTTGGATCCCACGCCATACAAGGATACCCAACTGGGCAGGAGTTTGGATGATATGTGAGCACATGGACTTAATGGGCCTAAAGCCCAATTCGAAATGATTTAATATGATTAATTAAAGTGGGGCGGTTCTAGGATTTGGATCAACAGATAGGATAGGGAGTTATCCCTATCCACTCAAAGAGTCCAGATCCAAATAAAGATTTGGATTARGAAACTTCTAATAAGATTAGAAGGGTTGATCTTTATCTGTAAATGAGATAAGGGATTATCCTTATCTTTTAAAGAGAGTCCAGATTCGAATACAGGATTTGGATTAGGAGAACATCTCTTTAAGGCTATAAATAGAGGAGGAGGGCGAACCTCAATTCACCAAATCAGATTACAGATTCAAGAGAGAAGACGACTCCAGTTAGATTGACACCATCTTCTGCTCTTGACCTCTCCTATTATTGCTGCCATAGCCAGTTCGATCTCCACCTGTAGGAGTGATCAAGAAAGGTTATTGATATTAGTTTTTGGTGAAAAACTGATATGAAGTTGTGTTCACTCACCCTCCATTGAATTTTTGCTGAAGAGTTCGGTTCTTGCTGAAGAACCACCTGTTGATTCTGGTCCACCCTACGCTGTGTCATCTTCAGTGGGAGCAGTCTTTGGTGTTTTCTTTGGGCGTGAACACCTTCGTTGGGAGTTACCACTACTCCGTATCAGGTATATCCCTCTCCTACATTTTGGTTTCAGATTTGGTCTGGTTTAGGGTTCAAGATTGATCATTGAAAATGTAGTTTTCTAAAATAGGGGATGTGATTCCCACATGGGGGAGAGAAAAAAATTTGAAATTTCGCCCAACCTACCTGTAGGGTTCGGCCATCCATATGATGGATCTCTCATCCCTTCAAAAATGACAGGTCCGTCGACTACTTTTCCTCACTGCCGATCGTCTCTAGTGGACATGCAACTAGGTGCACTGCTACCTGGTAGATATGTTCGAATGAGAGGAGATGGAGGTATAACCGTTGCATAGGGGTATTTTAGGCATTACAAGAAAACATTAGAGGCTGGTTTGTCCCATTTTTTGGACAAGTACTTCTTCAAGAAATGCTAAAAAAAAGTAAACTTCAGGTCACTTCTTTTAACGAAAAGTACTTTTTTCCCACTTTTTTATTAAACACATAAAACCTTAATATATAATCCCAACTCTTAAAAGAAATACTTATTAAAAAAGTAATTATTGTAAGTATTCTCAAAGAAAGGCTGAAAAATGTGTAAAATTGCAAATGGCCAAACGAAAGGCACTCCATATAGACTGTCAAAATTCATCATACACACAGATGCATGGGTTATTTTAATAAAAAAACTGCCAAAGCAACAACCGATTTTATTATACCAACTAACGCTCAAGATTTCATTTGTGCAGAAGGATGAAACATGTGAAGCAAGCGGAAGCCAAGAAACTGAAAATTGAACCATAATAGAAAGCCTAAATAAAGCATCTCAACTAAAGCTTATGATATTTTATTGAAGTCRTATGTTTGTGGACTGCGTAAAAAAGTAGTGATCATCAGACACGCCCATGTAGAATGAACTGAACAACTGCTCTTACGTCAACCTTTTAATATAATAGAATTAATCGAAGTCATCATCTATGTGCTAACGTGATTAGATTTATACATCAGCTAGCCTGTAATGATTGTATATGTAATCAAAAGTTCAAAACTTTATCATGACTTTATATCGAATGAATGACGAATCCTACATACATTTAGCATTTTAGCCATTGGGAGTTGAGACTAAATGAGATGAGATGATGTTTTCTTGCACCGGTTTCAAGTTTATTTATATAAAAGGCCATTTTAGAGTTCACTCCTCTTCATGATTATTTTATTGGTTTAATTGTGCATATGCTGTTCCATGCAGCAAAAGACATGCATGAACAAATGATATATTGATTAAAGTTTCTTAAATATTAAAATATGTTTTTAACGTGATTAATTGATCTCTCAATTTAACATACAGCCAATATACAATCAATCTTAATGAATACACTACACTGTAATTTAACTCGGCCTCTAATAATAGTGTAATACAAATAGGCGATTATTGATTTAAAGAAAAAATTATTATCTTTTCATACCCAATCTTTTAAACCCTAAATCCTAAAATTAAGAAATAAAAGATTGAAAGAGGAGTGCTGCATTAAATTCATGTCCCCCATCAATCATCATCTAAAGTAGAACCATCACATGTGTCATGTCTGTTGCGCTGGAGGCTTGCTATTTATACCAAATATCTCCCCCTACCTTTTAATGGTTTACAACACAAAAGGATTCTTAGGTGGATGTTGCTGCCGCTGCCCATGCTTCCACGCATCCATCGACGGTAGTATGTGGGGCCTTCTTTGTCTTCTTGCATTAAATAGCCCTTTGGGCCCTTGTTTACAATTGCCATCACGATGTGATCTTGTTGACATTTCTTTTTCCTGCACAATTAATTTTTGTTTAAGAGGGAGGAGTGATGATTTGATGGCATGAGAAGTGAGAACCCTTTTATTGACTTTGAAAATTCAACCAAAAAAGAAGATTTTTATTGTATTTTATTTCTTTGTTTGTTTTTACATGCTTTTTAGTTATTTAATCAACATTCTCAAAAGGAATATCTCTTTTGTAAATAAGGTTCAAAGTATCAACACGTATATTATTTTGGAACCCCTATATCGAGGGTCTGACCAATTCAAAGGGTGGAAAAGTCTTAATCAGTCTTTCTGAACCGGTTCCACTGTATCCATTTTCTCGATACACCGTATTAAGTACATCGATATTTTGAACCTTATTTATAAATATATATACATTTGTTTGCTAATTTTCGTTGAATATTAATATTATTAACATTTAATAATATACTTGCTGCAGCAAAATTAAGGAATATCAGAGTATTTAAGTTTTAACCCTGACCTTTATAGTCATGAGACTAGCCACTGAGGTCCCGTGCAGCGTTCGATTGGATAGTTGAATAAACTTACAAATGCAAACAATAATATACAAAAGGCGACAATAAGACATATAAATTCATTAAAAAGTATTTTATATTACATTAAAAATAGCAAACAGCACAAATTTGTATTGAGGAACTTTCTACTTAACTGTTCACAGTATTGGCACCATTCAATTACCTATCTTCACTTCAAGAATAGTTTAATCTTTTATTGCTTTGACATAAAGATATATCAAAATGTTAAAAAATTATATTAATATTCATAAGGGTAAATTTATTAAACTATCCTTACAGTTAATTGATTAACTCCGTCTGACTAAGTGTAAAATGTCCGTTATACCTCTATGCGAAATTACATTTTTATCCTTTTTAACTTAAATCAATCTCTCTCAGACATGTTACAAATACAAAACAGCGGAGTTCTGGCGGAAGTCGACTCCGGCCGACGACGAATGGCGCTGGAACGTCCCAGATCTACAGATGGGTGTGACGGAAGAAGAAGAAAATAGGAGAAATCTTCTCTTTTTTAGTCCCAGATCTACAGATCTGGGAAGGGGACGGAGGAAGAAGAAATCTGATGCATAGCGACTGCTGAGTCCGCATTTATGCTTGAAATCTGATGTTGCTGAGCACCTATTCCATGACTATCACGGTTATTATTGTTTGGGTGCTTTGCATCTCCCAAAGGACCCAACTCGTTCACTATCCCTTGTCTGTTCTCGTACCACTCATTCGCTGCCGATGCCGCCACAGTGGGCGGTGGTCGCAGCAGTCGGTAATTGGACGCGATCTTATCTATTCAATAAAATAAACAAAATAAGTAAGAAACATATCAAACAAAACACATATAAAGATCTAAATTTGAAAAAACAAAGGAAGAAAGCATGGGGACGAACCTGCAAATGAACATCGTGGAGGGAATCTGGGCCGACAACTAAAAAAGCCGCTTGAAGCTTTTCTTTGAGGCCACCGCACAAACAGCAACCTGGTTTGGGTTAGAGAACGAGCTTCCTTGAGGGAGATCGATTCCGGCCGACGACGAACGGCGCTGGAACCACCATGACAGTAGCCGTGGCTACCACGTCGGGCTCTTCTTTACTATATTCCTCAGATTTCTTCTTCTTGTTGCCGTTGTTGGTGTTATTATTGTTGATTCCTTCATCAATCAATGAAATCTCTTGCATTTTCGAATTCGCCACTCAAATTTGCCGGAATCTCGCCGGAACCTGCAACTTCACCAACATTTTCCCGGGGACTTCTAACTGAAATGAGCTTTCTGGCAAGATCCCAAAGAAGCTCTCCGGATTGTAGGGACTATCGGTCCAGAGTAAAGGGATGAGGGTAGTATTGGATTTTAAAATTTTTAAGTTACATAGTGTCATGTGTATACGGAAAATAGTCACTTGACACTATGCTAGTGTTATGGTTAAGTCCAAATAATATTCTCCTTTCTCCTTTTCAATCAAATTATGCCATCCCACCATGCCAGTTGGATTCCACCTTCTCCACACAGAAAGAGAGAGAAAATGATCAAAGAAGAAAAGCAGAAAGTAAAGTGAGAAAAAGAAGGCAATCATGTCAATTTGCCCCTACATTATTTGGTTTCACAGGAGGTATCAAATTAAAACAAAGACGGAGCAAGCATCAGGCGCACCTTTTTTTTTTCCATCCAAATAAAAAAGCAAAAATATTTCATTATAAAACTGCTTTTCTTTTTATTCTTTCTTCCTCCATTTCTTAAAAGGAAAAAAAACGAAAACAACAATTCATACAATTAAGGAGCAACTTCTAACACTATTTATTGGGTCACAAAATGGTCGGTCCGATCGATCATACTTTGTTACTCTTCCTCTACCCGATCCATCCAAAAATGCTCTTTCCTCAATTGAAAGCCGCGCAGTCGCGTCTGATGTTCCCATTGCCTCTGGTCTTGACACCAACCCGACCCAGCTTGTTAATGGCTGTGACAAAAGCTTGTTGAAAGGCGGCCGAGTTACTGGCCCAGGCATTCACCGTGGGCCTGGACCTAGGGTCCGAGAAGAGGACCTGATCCGAGGTAAATAGTCCCTTGCCTTGTTGAAGGTTCTTGTAGTAGACGTTGTCGAAGATCCTGGGAGTGTTTGGATCCATATTGATGGCTATCCTTGGGTCCACATTCCTGGGGCACATTGCTTGCAGCTGTGAAGCGTACGCCCTATTAAGTGTAGGGTCCACCACGCTCCGTGCACTGAAGTTGTATATCCTGTTTGCGAACTTACCACAATGAGAAAAGCCCAGTGTGTGCGCCGCTGCGACAAAAATACCAACAACCTTAGTCGTTACTCGTTAGTAATACTAGTTTTCCGATCACCTGACTATAAAATACATTCCAACAGTCTACCAACATAATTGGACACTGCACATGTCAAGAGATAAATCGGAATTTATTCCTCCTACAGCGCGTTAAAACATGCTGTGAGATGGGTGTGACGCGGGCTCCATAAGGAATAGATCCTGACTCGTTAGAGATGGTCTCACTATGCGGTGGTAGATATAGTTGGTAGGGGTTGGAATGTGTTCTCTTGGCAGGAAAATCCCAACTGGCCCACTATTCCACCACATCAAAAAGCAATAAAGGAAAAGAATTGTTAACATTACACTGTTATTGCTTTTATTAAAGTTAAACCCCGTTCTGAACTAATCAGCACTTAGAAGGAGTGGAGTTGACCAATGACGTAAACTAGTTTAGTACTCTGGCCTTTGGTCTTGGATTCAAATAAGCCCCCCACAATACATTCCCGCCATGTATTGGGCACATCCCGATGATAATATTCAGAATGGTGATATAATCATGGAGAGATGCTATCAATACATGGCGTGAATGTGCTGTAGGGGCTGATTTTAGTCTCTCTGGTTTTAATTTTCTCATTTAAGGTGTGTTTAGTTCGTAGTTGGAATTGGAATCGGCATCGAAGGGTCCGTTTGGTTTATAGGAATAGGGGTTTGGAATCGGAATAGAAATGGACTATTCCGATTCCAACTGTTTGGTTAGGCGGAATAGGAATCCCATTCCCATTCTTGCTCCTGCTCCTCACTTGAGAATGAAATCCCATTTTTGCTTATTTTAATTTTTATATTCATTCCTGTCTGAATCAAACAAATTATGAGAATTGACCATTTTAATTCCAATTCTGATTATAAGTCAAACGGCTTCAAAATCTTAAAAAATCAGAATCAGAATAGTCCATTTCCATAGTCTGTTTGATTCAAACAGAAATAAAAATGAAGATTAAAATAAGCACGAATAAAATTTAATTTTCAAAGGATGAGCAGGGAATAACATTTCCTCAAATGGGAAATGCCATTCCAGCAGGAACGAGGAATAGGATTATGATTCCGCTAACCAAACAATTAGAATCGGAATAACCCATTCCAAACCTCTATTCCCGCAAATCAAACGGAGCTTTAGAAAGGAATTTTGACAATTCCATAATTACTTTTATGGTTCGACAAGACAATCTGACTTGTTGAATTGATTAAAGCATGCAACGTGGTATTGGGTTGCACGGTCCTGTCGTTTTCAATATTTATTTACCTGAGAGAGCGATCATGTCCGTCTGAGTCAGGCCATGGGAAGCAAACAGGGAGCTCAGCTGATTAAGATTGAATGTCGGTTGTGGCAGCTTCCCGGTCACACTACTGGCGGTTGAGCTCAGGCCGTCGAATCTTCCCAATTCCACTGCGTAAGAAGGTCCACCCGACTGCGTGGCAGCGTGGGCGTAATTAATCAATTCAATCATCAATATTATACTCCAAAACATGAAAACACACACCTTTTCATCTCATCTCGGATGGCGATGGATTGAAGAGAGGAGGAAATCAAAAGGAAATTTGAAATTAAAAAAAAAAAAGTAGGTACCAGAGCAATGACATCACGGGTGGCCATGGTAAGGATGTCTGCGCAGGACACCTTATTCCTGCAACTAGGAACAGCGTCCACGGCTGCCTTGGCCTTGATTACGGTGTCGAACCCGTCTCCGGCCAGCGACAGATTATCTGGGTGGTCCTTCTCTGCTTTGTTGTTTGGTGTAGACGCGATTATAACCGAAGCATCACAACCCTATAAATAATGATCAAGGTTAGAGATAATTAATCATCAGTAATATAAACGACTAAATTGAACCATGAAATTTCATTCTTCTGACCTGAACAAAGCAATCGTGAAAGAAGAGACGCAGAGTCGCAGGGACGGTGACAAAAGTCTGTTGAAACTTCTGCCTTACTACGTTTCTTACGATGTTTTCCACATTGGGGCAGATATTGGCATAGTAGTTCCGTCTAAGTTGTGCTGATCCCATTTGGGGGAACAGGCACAGGTTAAGCACGAGTGCCCATACGACCACTCGAGCATTGAATTTGAAGCCTGCCATCGTCCACTCAATCAATTCGAACAATCAAGCAAATGTCTCTGTAAGCTAAAGAGGAAAGAAGAGACAGACAGAGAGGAGTGAGTTGCTTTGATAGGTCGAAGAAGGAATATATATAGAGAGAGGAAATGGATCATGCGCCAGTTGGCTGGAATCTTTTTTACAGCCATGAAAGTTGATTTTGAGGAGGGCATTTAACTCGTGGACTTCGAAGTTTGAAGGCGGCATCGACGACGGCTTCAGTTCATGGCCGCCCCCTTATTCTCTCTCTCTCTCTCTCTCTCTCTCTTTCTCTACCTGCTCTCGTCGTATACGATCGTTGATTCCAGAATATGCTACTAGCGCTGGTAAATGTCGGGTCGGATCGATTCCTCTTGTTCTTGGACAACAATAACCTGAATCTAATCCAGTTTAAAATTGGTCGTTGATCATAGCTCGGGCTAAGTACCATATACACACAAGTACGTATACCTGATACTGAGCCCGACCGAACCGAATTGAAGCCGGGTTGCGAGAATAGTTAATTACTTGTCACCTGGTTCCGGAGAGAAAGAGAGAGAGGGAGAAGAGGAAGAAAAGAACAAGATAAGGGACGCAACTTCCTGTGGGCTTCAGAAACCCAGATCGAATATTACTCAAAAATGTAATAAATGTAAAAGAAACACGACGTGCGTTACGTCCAGGCTAAATTATATATATATATATATATATATATATAGTCCAGACAAATATCTTTAAAAATTCGGAAAAGTATGGATTTGTACAATGCAAATTTGTGATTTACACTCCAGGATTATAAACATTCGAATGGACCGATAGGTACACTCCATTCACGGCCGTCCGTGAATCAGTATATTAATTCCGAGCTGACACCTACTCCAATCGTACATTAAACCTATAAATTCTGACACGGGGYATATCGGTCATTCTCTCAAAAAATTTAAATGTGGGCATCCAAATTTAAACTGTACAGTAACATTGAGGAGTCGCCCCACTGATTGAGCCGTGGTGGTGGGACCAAGAGGAAATCAACGTCGTGGATTAAAGTCCGAATGAACGAAACGAGTCAGCAGCAGGACCATCTATAGTTGTGATCCACTAGAGTTAGCATAAGTAATTTTGAGAAAGAAAGCGAGCGCTAACGTCAAGAACAGTTTGGATTCATATATAATCAATGCGAAGAAGACAGGTTATAGGTTTCGCCTTTCAGTCACAGCCAGACAAGACTTAAGAGACGAAAGTCGTCGTGTTGTGGTCCAGATGCAGCTTTAGTTTTTGAATTATTAGCTAACTATTGAATTATGTACGTAATACGCCATTTCAATCCCTTTGATGATCATTGTTGTTTTCAACTTGAACCCATGGCTTCCGATTTTGTAATTATTGAGATTTAATGGAGATGGATTCGCTAGCTAATCGATCCATATATAATGTATACTGGGAGTACTGTGGGGTTGAATAATGCATGATCCCCTCAAGCCTCAAGTTCTATATAATATATATCATTGATGGTGCCAAAATAGAAAAAGCTACAAAGTTAGGAGTTGAATTTCTTTGGTTTGAAGCAACGAATGAATGATACATATAACATAGATAAATATCCAAATCCAAAACGAAACGATTGTGGACATTTTTACTAGCTACTTGCCTAAGGTTTTTTTTTGAGCATATAATACAGCTATTAGCTTCTGTCGTGACGTCTGATTTTCAAACATTGCCTTATTCGCCACATATGGCCTGACGTGACAATCCAAACGGTGAAAATGTGTGGCCCCCTGTTGTTATCTATGCACTCATCCGCTCTCTTCCTCGGATTAATCTGAAAATTAAAATGGCTACTCTCTCTCTCTCTCACTCAAATTAATTTTTATGTGGGGTTAGATTTGGTGGCGGGAAGTGGATAAGTGAGAGGCAAATTAAAGGTTATGGACCAACTAGGCCATATACCTGCTACTACTTGCTACTTTATAAAAGGGAAAATAAAAAATGTAGGGACGTGGGGGAAATAGTTGCACCAAACCACCAATGATCTGCTCCCAACATGCTCTTTCAATTTTAATACTATATATTTGTATAGTTGAAGAATACTTACTATACAAATTTTAGAATGATCCAAATATGTGGACCCACTTCCCATTGCCACTTGTTAAGAAATTAATGCATCAAAATGTACAACTGCGTAGTTGTTAATCGAATCAAATCTCAGATCCTCAATTCTTTGGCTTTTTCGTCGTCCCAAATTGATTGATAAAGAAGGGAGAGGGAGAGAGATTCTCTGTATTCTTTTGAAAAGTAAAAGCCTTCCTTTTCTTAAATTAATTAGGACCTATCGTATGTTATTGATTAACTGTTTTACCTGCTCTGCTCTGTTAACCAAAAGAAACAATCTTTTTACCTTGGCCTCCCCCCCACACACAGATTCTTTTTTTTTCTGAGAAAAAATTGCATAAGGCCATCATTCTAAAGTATTTATCATACTTAAATGAGAAATCGACCGACCATATCCGATTAAAGATCAGTTTCACTTTAAGCCGTAGGGATGCCACACCACACATCCATCAGGGGCGGCCTGATAACAATTAATTAGACCAGGAAGCTTCATCACCCCGGTTCCAAAGCATTGATTAATTCATACACAGCGCAGGAACTACCCCGTGTTTCCTTCTTATGTACAGCAATAGCTTAGCTGTATAGGAATAGRATGATGAGTAAAGGAATGTTATATAGGTAGAGCTGAAGGCTGAAGCATCTGATCGTGTACAGGATCAACAAGATGGAGAAGGTACTTTACTTAATTATACTTTTTGCTCAACTTTACTCACTGAAATGCTTGTGTCTTCTATAATTCTGCATTATAATAATAATAATAATAATAATAATAATAATAATAATAATAATAATAATAATAATAATAATAATAATAATAGTAGTCTACGCTCCAGTAAGATATACAAGCTAAACCCTATATTTCTATTATATTTGTTTGAGCATTAAAAATCTAACCAACTCTTTTGTCCTCTATATACTAAGCACGTGGCCGGTGGCCACCCATCTGGGGGCTTTGCCTCACTCATCACTAACACAATTGACTGTATTAAATCATGGATAAACTTTGCCGAATTGGTGAGTCACATATGTTGGTTGTATTTCAAATTTTCAAATCAAGAAAAAGGTAAGATTAGAATTTAAGATTAAAATCTTAAAATAATGTGCTTAATTAAACTGTGATCATGATGTAAACTATATCCACATGCGGATTGCTCTCAACCGGCCAACAGAATAAATATTTGACCAAGTTTCACCGCATTGGATCTCGTGAAAGCGCCTTTAACAAAGTGACTCCCACACTCCTGGTCCCAGCTTGCTTGCCTGTCTTTTTCCTACTAATTTTGAACCCCTGTCCCATGCATTCCCTCTTCTTATATATTAGGATAAATTACAATTTACAAATAATTACCTTGTACTTTGAAGGTAGTTGAAACATTTTAATGCTCTGAAGTCTCAACTTTTAGAAATATATACTTGAGTTCAACTCTAATTACAATGAGGGCAAAGTTATAAAAATACTATGTTTAGATTTTCTTTTTCTTAATAACCTTTTATTTCACTCTTTTTTTTTTCTATATGAAACTATTTTTATATTTCTTTTAAACAAAGAATAAAGCATTTGAATGGAATAAAGAAAATAGTAAAAAGAAGTGTGAATCTAAATATGAACATTTTTGTAATTTTACGCTCATTGTAAGGTTAGTTTTAGCGGTATTAGACTCAAGTATATATTTCTAAAACTTCAAATTACTAAAATGTGGTAGTTGAAAGTTCAGGCCATTAGGTGTCACTACTCCTAAGATGAAGCTTGGGCTGTAAAACTAATAATAAGGTCCTACGCCAATAATAAAATATCTGGGTCTATACTTTCACAGTGGGACTCATGAATTTATTACTGGTATGGAATCTTATTATTGGTTCCATAACCCATTGAACAACTAAAGAGCAGAATTCTTATAATTATCTTATATATTAAAGGGTTAATAACATATAAGAGCAACTTTTTGCCTTTAATATCAATAAAAAATACCACTTTTATATAATAATTAAAACGGGGTATTTTTTTTTTTGGGAAAATATCAAACAAGGGTAATGTCACTGTTGGACCTCTGTGTAAGTCCTTCAGCGATGGCCTACCAACCTACCCTCTAATTGGGTGCTTGATTTCCTTCTACAAGAATCGTTATTGTCTCTTGGACTGGTACATGAACCTCCTCACGGAATCCCTGATGCAAACAATCGTGGTATGCCATTTCGGTGCAAGATGGACAGTTGTCATGGCGAACCCTTCATCGACATCTGAGAGACTTGCTCGGCTGCAGACCAGTCGTTATTACATTCCTGGTCCGGTTGAGAGGTCGTCACTAGACTTAGACAAAAGCGGCAATCGTGGTACCCTCTAATTGGGTGCTTGTTTTGGAGATTTTATTACATACAAAAGCGGCAAGATGGATGAATGTTAACAGAGAAGCCACCCAAATACAGAAAAGGAAGACGAATGCCTTTATTTGATATTTTTCAAAAAAAAAAAAAGGATATCTCATTTCGGTGATTATATTAAAATATTATTTTTATTGGGGTAAAATATAAAAGCCTCCCTTGAAGTTTCTGACAATCATAAAAACCTTCCTCATAGTTTTATTGTAGCAAAAACCTCCCTTCTTTTTTTGAAAAATTCGACAAATACCTCCCTTCCGTCAATGACCAAGAGGAAAAACGTTAAAGTGATGATCAATTTTTCCAAAGTACTTATTATACCCTTTTACGAATTAATATGCTCTATTTTTACTAAAATACCCTGTCTTAGCAATTTCATAATCCAAACACTGTTCATCTTATTCCTCTTGACACAATCGCGGTGCACTTCCCCCTTCAGCCTTCTCTCTTCATTAAGTTTCCTCTCTCTCTCCACCAACACGAAATAACACTATTCATCGTTCCCCTATCCTTGACTAAAACACACAACGACGGCAATTGAATTCATTCTCCACCTCCGGCCATCCTTTCTCCTCTCATTTTCATTATCTCTCTCTCTCTCTTAATTAATCTCTTCCCTTCCTCCTCATCCCCCATCGCCTTCTATCACTGCAAACACCCCCTTGGTTACCTCGATTACCAATTTCATCTATTTGAATAGCGGTAGTGGCTGATTTACTATGACCACCTCATACCACTACTGCAACTATGGTCCCCATTTTCTCAATTATTCCACCTCTTTGCTTCTACCAATCAATCCTCTGTTTTTCATCCGTCGACTAGGTCTGAATCTCTAGACTCCCTCTTACCTTTTTCTTTCATTATCTTTACATTTCTTTTTATTTTCATCTCCCCCTCTTTAGCATTTCTTTTTCTTTTATTTTATTCCCATGCCTCTCCACCATGCTTCCTCCTGTAATGAACGAGAAATTAGAGTGCAGTTCCTGTTGCTGAACG